CAAAAAGGTGACACAGATACAGGGGCTAAATGTCATAGAGCAGCGGGCGCCCAAGGAGACATACAGGAGTTATTAACACAGTGTCAGAACTTTTGTTTAAAAATGCTTTATCCTTTTGTTCAAATTGTTCTACAGATCTTAAAAAACGCTAAAAAAAAACAAAAAAAAGGGAATGTAAAGACAATGTGAAAATAAAAACCAACTAAACAAAGAGTAAAAAAATAATATAGAATAGAATAGAATAGAATATAATAGAATAGAATAGAATAGAATAGAATAGAATAGAATAGAAGTGTTAATACCAGCCTGGAAGTTAGAAGGCAATTTCAGCCAAATGTAATCTGAGAAATATTAACTCATTCAAACATATAATTTTGCACAGATTGGAAGCCGAGCACAGAGTCTTGGTAAGTCCAGCCAGAACACATGCTGCCATGAACCAGGACCATCCATCATGGCAGTAACGAGACAGCGATGCAGCAGCCAGAAAGAACTGAGATTGAACCAATCAGAATACAGCATGCATGCTGGCAGCCAGTAACTCTCACTAAAAAATACATCACAGGATCCTTTTTTTCTTTTTACAGAGCTCAATGATTATAAATCAAACAATAGATGGCCCTTTCATGGATACATTGTTTTTTCTACTTATTCAGAATAGCTAAAACTGGCAAACGCAGAGTTTTTACACAGCATCCCTTTAGAAATTCCCTTTTATTTTTCCGGGGTTCAATTTTAAAGTCTTTCAGCTTGCTGTTCACATACAGCTCTTTATATTTACAATAAAGACCTGAAACTGTAATTTGTGGGAGGATCAGATTTTAGAACAAACTCTCAAAAGGTCTTGGAGTTGAAAATCAAGTTTCCTAAGTTAAATATGGATGTTAGCAACACTTTTTTTGTTCTTTCTGTAAAGCACAAATATGTTACGCAAGAGTCCAAGGTAAAACTGTACATATTTATTAACTGAAAGTATACCTATATCTATATCTATATATACAATCTGCAAAGTGTCATCTGGATTTTAAGCCAATATGTTGTTGAACAATCATTTACAATTACAGTTGTAAATCTTAATGGTATGCCCCACCAGCTTTGCACAAAATTAGATTAAGCTTTTTACCAATTCTTCTATGCTAAACACTTCTAGTTCAGTCCATTTGGAATGAGAGGATTTGTATACATCTATATTTTCCAAATAGATTTGGATCTTGATTCAATCCTATCTACTGATCTACCATCAGTGAGTGTGTGTGTGTGAATGACTGAATGTAGTGTAAAAGAGCTTTTGTCAAGTCCTCTGAATTGAAAAAGCGCTATATAAGTACAGGTCATTTACCATCCCACCAGATTATGCTCTAATCTGAACCATTCCACACTAGTTCTGGCTCTATGTTATAATCCTCCCGAAAACAAGCGTCACTTTCTTTATTAGTAATATGCATCAACACTGACAAACACTGAGACTCCATAGCTGTGTCTTAACGTCTGCCCTAATCAATATATACGGAACTTTATTGTGGTTACGCCATTTTAAATGAGTGTCCGAACTTCTAGTGGATGAAAAAGTCTGGACTCGAAATGTCCAACAATGCATCTTAAAAAGTAGTGATCATCCATGGTCACTAGCCGAGCAGATATATGCCGGGATGCTTTGCGAGAGCTCTCATAGCAAAGTATCATGGAATTTGTTATGACAGCGGCCTGCTGTGGGGTAGGGATTGAGGGGACAAAGATTAAGCAGGCCCCGCGCGGGGAGGCGGAGTTACGTGACCAACAGGGAGTAAAAAGTAGTGATCAGCTGTCCGAACCGTCAGTTAACTGAGTTCACTATAAAGTCCCCGTTCTATACAGTGATTGAGGGATTTTGGGGTTCGCCCATCTCTCTGTGTAAGAAAAGCATCATAGTACTAATAGTAGTAGTTTCACTACATGTATTTCTTCCAAGTTGAGATATGTTACATGTAAATATACAATTACATGTAGTGTTGTATTAGATTTTTCTTAGTTTTGAGGCCAAAGAGCTCAGTTTTAGTTTACTTTAACCAGGATATTATATTCCACATGTTAGCTACTACATGTCTAAGCCGGACTTCCACAGAATCTCCTCTTTTTACTCTTCTACTATACTGGACTGATGGTGGTCAGAGGGCCCGGTGACTCATGTGTATGGCAGTCCCACCACTCTCAGTGAGCCTCAGGGCAGGTGTTGCTAAAACGTAGCTTTCCACCATCAGGGTGGAAATGGGTAATCCAATCCAATCCAATCCACTTTATTTATATAGCACGATTTAAATAAACACAAGGTTTCCAAAGTGCTGCACAAAAAGATAAAATAACTAAAACCTTCAGCCAGGTCTCGGAGATGAAGAGGAAATCCAAATTCCGGGATAAGAAGAAATCCTTAAGAATTAATGATTTATTCACAAGCGATCTGGCGTTTACCAGGCCAAATCTAGCATGAGCTGGCTGGTCAGGACGAACAGCTGACAGGGATGCCCGACACAGAGGCCGCAGGTTCCCCAGATTTACTCCGCGCCAGCGGGGACGAAGAGAGCAGAGTCCGCGGGGTTGAAACATCACATCCGAGCCCGCCACCGGTACCAACCAGGCAGCGACGGGGTCCAGGGAACGTCGAGAGACACAAAGGCGAAGCCCCGCTCCATGTCCACCTCGATCAGGACGTACCAACCCGGCCTTCAGCCTCACCAGACAGCCACTATGCTTACCCCGGCGGTGGTGCCGTTTTCGCCCCGGGGGTGGCGTCGGAGTGTGGCAGAGGTACGTCGGGATGCCCGATAGGAAAGGAGGCAACGTTTTTTGTCCATAATAATTAAAGCTGACGTTGACAAGATTTTTGCCATAAATCCTCAGATCTAACAGCGTTTGGCGATCATACACCCGTAGAGTGTTGACGGTATGTGCAACATAAGTTACAAACAACAGAAAAACAAACAACAATCAGAGCAGCTGACGGCCCGCCTGACACACTGGCGCCATCTTGCATAAATGACTGAATGTAGTGTACAGACCTTTGAAGTCCTCTGACTTGAAAAGGACCAACAGAAGTCCAGACAATTTAGCATTTTCCACTTTAAGATGGCCACTTGTAAAGAACATAACTAATACATCAGCAGCCAATAGCAACCCAGGCTTTCCTTTTTAAGTTAATCGCTATGGCCATATCTGTTGTCCAACCAAGATGCAACCGACCTCCACCCCTTTCACCTTCCCAGTCTACTTCCTACTCCAATCAGCCCAATGCATCTTTTTATCCAGTCAACAATCAGTGTCCAGGTCCTATGTGAAAGACATCTATACCAAAACTTGTTGAGTGCCTATGAATTACTGCAACATTCCCTTTGGAGTGAATAACATTTTTTTTATTAAATGGAACCGAATCTCCATTCTTATAACTCTGCACATTCTATCAAAATCATAAATCCTTAGCTCTACATCCTCTGCTGGGGTCTGAGTGCCTAAATATTTAAATTCATTCATGTCAATGAACTCTCTAACTGCCTCCTTATGAGTCTCTCAAGATTAAAATGCTTTTAAGTAAACACTCATATCTTGTTTTTTTGTTTAGTTTTTTCTGTTGTGTCATCCTTTTTCCCTGTTGGAGGAGGTAGATTTAACAATCCTATAAAACCTGTCCTTAAACCTGTCAAAGTCTAGGAACATTGTCTAAAGGCTAACCCTTTAACTATAGATCATCTGACAGTTTAAAGTTCGTATGAAAACCTACCTGTTTAGATCTGTTTTGACTGCTGAGTGCACATGTGAAATGTTTATGTTTTTTTATTGTGTTGAAACTGTTTTTATTGCACATTTTGGTAGCAAACAACACTGATGATATCTTTTTTCTCTGGTTTCTTCTAAGGTGTTAATAACCTGATTATTTTCCAGTCTGCTCAAACAGTCTGGCTACTAATTGGATTCCTGTGGTCTCAAACCGACCAATAATCACTGAGAGCCGTCAGTCAAACGAGGACACCTGAGGAGCTACTCTGCTGCCTCCAACACTGACCTGTCGATGTGTTTGCTCCTTATTAGCCACTAAGAATTTTAAGGTTTGTACCTTTCTCTTCACAATTGCCTAATTGATGTTTTTCTCCTAATTCTAATCTTCTTTACCGTGTTGCTTTTGTTTTATATGTGCAACATAGTAAACATGTTTCTAATCACTGATAATATACTGTTAATATTTTTACATTTAATCTTTAGAGTAGGTATTTGCACTATAAATCCTTAGAAAATTTACCTTTATTTAGGGGTTTTCATCTTACATTATCATGTCACCACATGATTTTTAAAGCAGGGTTTGTAGCCCTTTAGAAAATTGGAGGAAAATTTATGAAAAAGGAAGTATCAAAGTTTTTTATAAAACTGTGTATCATGTACTCTGTGAATGCCTTTTCTCTTTTTGCAAAACTCTCAAGGTTCTCCATAAAAAACAGAGAACGTCTACATATCATTAATGGCCATTAATGGTCATTAATGGCCAATAAACTCAACCCTCCCACTGCACACATTTGAGAGAGGTTTGAGTTTCTTCTTTTTTGCTCAGTGGAAACATAATACTTTGTTGAAAGTGAGTTGATATTTTCTATGTTCAACAACTGTATTAATAGCAGAGTTGGGCCGAATGTAAACAATCTAAAAGTAGATTTTTTGTAGTATTACCTGGGACCATGGTATGGAAAAGTGTGGAAACACCAAAGCCAGGAACTTTGTATTTATTTATCGACAGAAAAATAATCATATATTGTACAAAATACCTTCGACAATCATGTTTAAAATGTATAATTTTAGGGACAAAAGGAACTAAATTAGCAATGTCTGAGGGGTTGGGTATTGTGATAAATATTGGTACTGATTCAGGTAGCGGATAGGTGCAGTGAGTCACAGGTGAGTGTAGGGATGATAAAAGCATGGATAACAGAAATGCGCATAAAGTCACAATAAGGCGTTTCGACTTCTTCAGAGCAGTGTTGTACCTTTTTTGAGCAGCAGCTGCAGCGTTCCCCTCTCCAGCTCCAGACTAAGGGCCATCCCATCCTGCCCGTCGACATGCAGCAGCGTCCCAGAGTTCCTCAGGGTTTTGAACTTCAGGGAGACGACCTGTTTTGACCCGTGCTTCAGCCTGGGGCCGAGCCTGAAAGTCAGGCTGCTGCTGCCGTCAAAGCCCATTATATCAGAGGCTGAAAATAAAGATAAACAATAAAATCAGGACAGAGGCATCTTCAGCTCTAGGGACTTTACAGCAGCCTTCCTATCCTTACGATATCCGAGTGATTCTCAACACTTATTGTCTTCAGATTGCTACCAGGTTACAAATCTGTATTCTGTTTATCAAGCACTTTTCTGCCGGTGTCCTCTGCCGGCTTGGGAATTAGACTGAGGTGAGCCAAACTGTGTGGGTGGTAAAGAATGGACTGTTTTAAAAAAGAGCAGCTGCTGAGCTCAGCATCAGTTTCCTCTTCAGCTGTACAACTAATTTCCCTTTCTCTTTTTTTAATGAAGTTGGCAATTCTTTGACCTCACTTAGCTCACAGTAATGTGCTTATTGCACTGTACAGTGCAATTCCTGCTGATTACAGGGCAGCAAGCTGAAGCTCAGACTTATAAACTCATCCTTTACATACAGTTAAAAACGTTGCTTCCTTTAATGTCAACCAGACATTTTTAACTGCAAAAAACAATCTACTAATAAGTAAAAAGACCTTAAATTAAGTGTATTTATGCTTAATTTGAGTAGGTAAATGAGATAGTTTGCCAATGGTATGACTATTTTTACTCTTAAAATAAGATAATTAGATATGATGCGCTTTAAATAAGATAATGCAATCGTGTTTTCTTATTTTTAATGTAAATTGTCTTGTTCTCTACTGTTACCCACTCTTTACTCCATCCAGACAGTGTCTTGCCCACGACCAAAATCTAATAAATTAGCAAAGATTCCCAAAGGAGTAAATCATGATAATCTAATTAAAATCAAAATAACTCCAATTGGGGAAAAAGTTAAAACAATTAAATGCGGTCTGTTTAACATAAGATCGCTTTCCTCTAAAAGTCTACTAGTTAATGACTTGATTTGTGATAATCACATTGACTTGTTTTGCCTTACAGAAACCTGGCTGCAGCAAGAGGATTATGTGAGCATAAATGAGGCAACTCCTTCAAGCTATTTAAATTTTCACATCCCCAGAAGTTCTGGGCGAGGAGGAGGAGTAGCAACAATCTTCCAGTCTGACTTACTGATTACTCCCAAAACAATTAATACCTACAACTCTTTTGAACATTTAACCCTTAATTTCCCTGATCCAAATTTCAAGGCAAGAAAACCTCTTCTTTTTGTAACTTTGTATCGTCCACCTTACTCTGAATTTTTAGATGAGTTTTCAGAGTTCCTTTCTGATTTGGTATTAAATACTGACAGGGTCATCATAGTGGGAGATTTTAACATCCATGCTGACATTGAAGGCGATAGCTTAAGAGCAGCCTTTAATGCTATCTTAGACACTATTGGCTTTGTTCAAAATGTGAATAGTCCCACGCATTCTCATCTTCATACTTTGGATCTTGTGCTGACATACGGCATAGAATGTGAAGAAATAACAGTATTTCCTCACAACCCTGTCCTCTCTGACCACTTTCCAATAACCTTCAGGATTACTTTAACAGAGTTCTCCTCCCCCAAAATAAGGTTCAATTTTAGTAGATCTTTATCAGATAGTGCAGTTATAAATTTTAAAGAATCTGCTTCACTTTCTCTCTCCTCTGTGTCACTGAGCAGTGCTGCAGAGTGCAAAAGCTTAGCTTATTCCCCTTCACAGGTTGATGATTTTGTTGATGGGGTTGCTAGTTCTCTGCGTATTGCCTTAGACAACGCAGCTCCTTTGAAAATGAAAACCGTTAAAAATAGAAAGCTTGCTCCTTGGTTTAATGCAGAGCTGCGTACTTTGAAGCAAAATGCTAGGAAACTGGAGAGAAAATATCGCTCCACAGGCCTGCGAGAGTCCTTCCTAGTCTGGAAAAATGGTTTACTGCCGTATAAGAGGACTCTTTGTAAAGCAAGAGCAGCATACTTCTCCTCATTAATAGAGGAGAATAAGAATAATCCTAGATTTCTTTTTAATACAGTTGCCAAACTCACCCAGAGCCATAGCTCTGTTGAACCGTCCATTCCACCTGCTCTTAGCAGCAATGATTTTATGGGATTCTTTATAAATAAGATTGATCTTATTAAAAATAAGATCATAAGCACTCCTCTATCCGCGATTGTACCTGAGGTAGTCATGGAATCTGAACCGGGTTTAGACTGCTTTGATCCAGTTGAACTCTCTGAATTAGCAAAATTATTGTCTTCATCTAAGCCTTCAACTTGTATGTTAGATCCAGTTCCAACCAGGTTATTTAAGGAGGTATTCCCTTTGATCTCCTCCTCCATTTTAGATGTGATTAATCTATCTCTGTTACAGGGATATGTACCTAAAGCTTTTAAGGTTGCTGTAATTAAACCTCTGCTTAAGAAACCGTCTCTTGACCCAGATGACTTGGTCAATTATAGACCTATATCCAATCTTCCTTTCTTATCCAAAATTCTTGAGAAAGTAGTTGCCAAACAAGTTTGCGATCACTTCCACCATAATGAACTTTTTGAAGAGTTTCAGTCTGGCTTTAGAGCTCATCATAGCACTGAAACAGCTCTGGTGAAAGTCACTAATGATATTCTCATGGCCTCAGATAATGGACTTGTATCTGTGCTCGTCCTGTTGGATCTTAGTGCTGCATTTGATACAGTTGACCATAATATTCTTTTAGAAATACTTGAATATTTTGTTGGAATTAAAGGAACAGCACTAGACTGGTTTAAATCTTATCTATCTGATCGAATTCAGTTTGTTCATGTTAATGATAGATCTTCAACACGCTCAAAGGTTACCTGTGGAGTACCACAGGGATCAGTGCTAGGACCAATTCTCTTTACTTTATACATGCTCCCAATTGGTAGAATTATTAGACAGCATGGGATTAATTTCCACTGTTACGTTGATGATACCCAGCTATATCTGTCTATAAATCCAGATGAAGCTAACCCATTACATAGATTACAGGCATGTCTTGAAGACATAAAAACCTGGATGACTCTTAACTTTCTGCTCCTGAATGCAGACAAAACAGAAGTTATAGTCTTTGGACCAGAGTCTCTGAAAAAGAAACTGATTAGCCAGTCACTTCATTTGGATGGGATTAAACTGATTTCAGATAATAAAGTAAAAAATCTTGGTGTTATTTTTGATCAGGACCTGTCATTTAAATCCCACATCAAAGAGGTTTCCAGAATTTCCTTCTTTCATCTGAGGAACATTACAAAAATTAGAAATATCCTGTCCAGGGGTGATGCTGAGAAACTAGTCCATGCATTTGTTACTTCAAGGCTGGACTATTGTAATTCTTTACTATCAGGAAGTCCACAAACTGTAGTTAAAAGCCTTCAGCTGATCCAAAATGCTGCAGCCAGAGTTCTAATGAAAATTAAAAATAGGGGTCATATCTCGCCTATCCTGGCTTCTCTTCATTGGCTTCCTGTTAAATCAAGAATAGAATTTAAAATCCTCCTTCTCACATATAAAGCCTTAAATGGCCAAGCTCCATCTTATATCAGAGATCTGATTGTTCCTTATGTTCCTAACAGAGCACTTCGCTCTCAATCTGCAGGTTTACTAATCGTTCCTAGAATTTCTAAAAGTAGAATGGGAGGCAGATCTTTTAGTTATCAGGCTCCTCTCCTGTGGAACCAACTACCAGTTTTAGTCCGTGAGGCAGACACCCTGTCTACTTTTAAGGCTAGGCTTAAAACTTTCCTTTTTGATAAAGCTTATAGTTAGGGTGGCTCAGGTTATCCTGAGCTATCTCTATAGTTATGCTGCTATAGGCTTAGACTTTTGGAGGACATAGGGACCCCCATTTCATCATTCTGCTTCATTCTCTCTCTGTTCTCCTATTCTGCAGAATCTGTTAGTTCAATCTCTAACCTTCTGCTCTCTCTGCTTTTCCTCAGAGTAGCTTTGCCTCGTCTGTTCCTGCTTGGCTGTGACGTCATCCTGGAAAGAAACATCAGCTGTGCTGCTTCTATCAACACCCTTGTTTATAGATGTTGGAGATCGGCCTGTTTTCCAGTGTGGTCCTGTTTCTCTGACCGTGACTGAGTGGATGTGCTCTCTTCGTCCTCTGGCATGTGAGCTGCCTTGGAGCTCGTCTGCCTGGCTGCGTGTTTCCTGGACGGGGCCGCCTTTTACAGCTGCTTTTTGTATCTCTGCTTCTGTCTCCTTGAACCCCAGTCGGCCTCGGCAGATGGCCGCTCACACTGAGCCTGGTTCTGCTGGAGGTTTCTTCCTGTTAAAAGGGAGTTTTTCCTCCCCACTGTCGCTACAAGCATGCTTAGTGTGGGGGATTGTATTTGAGTCAATGAGTCAATGCAATCAACTGGTTTTCCTTAGATAGAAAACTTTGTATCAATTTGACTGTATGATCTGGTTGAACTGTAAAGTGCCTTGAGATGACATGTGTTGTGAATTTGGCGCTATATAAATAAACTGAATTGAATTGAATTGTTCCATTGGCAAAATGTGCCACAATCCAATAAAAAGTAGACTTATTTTAAGAAAAAATTACTTCTCTAGATTTTGATTTATTTTCAGAGTTCATTTAGATCCAGATTGTGCGTCTGCCGTGGGCAACTGCAAAGAGGCCGGAGACTGTAATTATTCTTAACTATTCATTTTATTTTTTTGACAGCTTGGCCATAAAACTAACTCTGCTACTATAGTTTATGAGCTGGAGTGTGTTTTGAAACCAGATGGAAACTCTGGATCATCAACTATGTTGCATTGCATCAGCAGCCATGTTTAGGACAGCTGAAATTTAAAGTTGTTGTTTCTAGACTTCAACAAAATGCAGCTACGCTGAATTAATACCTAATGGCTGCAGCATTTTGTTTTAACTCAGAATGTCCTATGGTGAAGATGTCAAAAAAAGTCAAACAAAATAGTCGCTTGACTGTAAATGTAAATATGCAATATGTACAACCGGTATAATGATATTGAGGTGAACATTTTTCACCAACTACTAAGCTACCACAATCCTTTCTATTTTACAGCATTTCTGTTTTTCTAGAGGAAGATTCAGCTGTAGGAGC